TTTAAGGGAATGGGGAAGTGGCTGAGCATCAGTAAAATAGCATCAATATAATCAAAGAGCACCAATAAAGTCCAGCACATGTGGAACATCTTAGTAACAAATGATTCCATTTGGAAAGCTTTATGATCACAAATATTTTTGGTGCAGTTAATTCATTTGAAAAAGAGGAGAGGGATGCATTCTAACTGTTCAATTGATGATAAGAACTGCCCAGGAAAGTTGTAGTTCCAAATTCAGGCTGCAAGTGTTGGGTTGGAAAGCTCTAAAGTTTGGTTGCGCAAGGAGAAACAAAGAAGTGAGTAAAAGGTGAAACTGCGGGCAGAGACAGAAACTGTCAAATGGTGTCAAGTTAGCCATTTTACAGATATTTAGTTGTGGTGGTAGCTGAGTATGATCCACAACATACAGCCTATGAGACCTTTGTTTTTAAACTTTGGCATGCATGACAGAAAGTAATACACCTTTTTTTTCAGGGATAGCTAGTTTCATTATTATTGTGTTTGAGGCTTACACCTGGTCCTGGTCCTAAAGGACCACTATCCTGTATGTTTTACTGAGCTGGGTTACAGGGGTGGGCAATTTTTATTTATTTATTTTCTAAGAGCCACATGAGAAACTTGAGCCATGTTGGAGGACCAAAACTAACAATATATTGTACTAAATACGTAATTTTTTCACTCAATGTTGAGTGGTAAATTACATATTTACTTATGTACTTTAAATTGTTATGTAGGTGATATTCCTATTGTAACAAATGAAACAAAACCAATCATAATGTTTCATTTTATTCTCAACGTGTCAGTCTTCACAAACATTCAAAAACTCTTTTGCATTACAAGCTGTGTTTCCATTGCAAATATGCGCAAAACTTTGTCGATATTCTGTTTATGTCGGAAAAAAAAACAGTTTCGCAACTACGGTGTTTCCATTAAGTAAGAAATGCTATTAAAGTCACGCATGAATACGTTTGTTCTCGCGATAAGTCATTACAAACATGGCGGCCATGGATGTAAACACATAGCACATTGCTACCACGACACTAGTGCTCATCATCAGAGGAGACATCGGAGTCTTTTATCAAGGCTTTCCAGCGACAAGTCCCCACTTGGGAGCGACTACGTATGCTGTTTTTTTTTTTTTTTGGGGAAATTGTAATCGGTGAGTTTACTATTTTATACTACTTCTGTGATATTACTACTATTTCTACTTCCTGTTATCTTCTACTTCATCTTCTTTTTCGCCAGTAGAAACAGCCGGTTGTTGATCACGTGACTCCTGTGATGCGAAAAAAGTGTTTCCATTGCAGTTTTGCGAAAAGCTCCAATTTCGAAATGGCCAAAATACCACTTCATCCTAGCACAAAAACATTTTGTCGAAAAACGTAATTTTTTTCTAAATTGACGTGTTTCCATTGAGCAAATTTATTTTCGAAATCCTAATTTGCGCATTTTCATGGTCAATGGAAACGCAGCTACAGTATGGTATCAAATTGATGCAAAAAACAAATGCAAAATGCATTTTGTTGTATACTTGGAGTGCCTGGACTTATCGACTACCGTTTTGTCGGCTCCATTCTCCTCTGGCTCCGGGTCAGACTCTGGCTCTAACATGTAAGGCTGGATGGACAAGTCTTCTGTTGTTGACATTTCTGTGCTGCTATATAGTCATACCTCAGCTATCAAACCACAATGGACCATTCCGGAAGTTGGAGGCTGCCGGGTGTGAAGTGCCTCATTTGGATTTAAAGAGACAGCATCAAAATGAGTTTAACTGTGACATAACTCAGAAACGGGGCGAAAGAGGGGCTTGTGGAGTTACAGTTGAGAGGAATTCAGACCAAAGCATTGCAATTACACTTCATAAAGACCCCAGCTAAATGATTCAAATGTGAAAAAGAAGGATATGTAAATGTGATTTGTCTTCTTTTAAAGACAATACCATTAAACAAAAAGATACAACACAACAATGTACTGTGTAACGGCATCTTCTCAGTTACTGTAATAATTTGTGAGTTTCACCATTGTCTCACGTTTCATTACAACCACCAAAACAATTATAGGAGTTTCCAGTTAAGATTAGCATACAAACTACTTCTTTAATTCTGCAGCAGCTTCCTGTTCACTGTAAGATCGACACTTACATGCAGTTTTGTACAAATAAGTCAGTAAAAATAATAAATAACATAAGTTCAGTGAATAGCAGCAGTGTTTGGTTTTTATGTGATTCAGAATCTTTCATCGTGCATCACACACAACTGTCACAACGAAAGTTCCTGATGCTTTAACCTCTTTGATGTGTCACTTCCAATGGAATAGATCAGAGTTGTGCTCTGACACCACTTTGTGTTACTGCGTGCTGTCACGTCCATCGTATCCACAGCTTGAGCCGTTCGAAAGGCTTCTGAGTTTCATTTCATTCTGAATCAGGCTTTCCAGGACTAAGGAAGAAAACAAGAAAAAAATCATTAGAACTGGAGCTGTTTACTAAATTTTTAAAACTTGCATTGTATTTGTCAGGTTTAGTGACATCAAATGATAAATATGAATGCATTATTGCAAATTGTTGGTGAGATATTCAGTCCCTCTCTGACTGCTCTTTTGTACATGTGTTATACCATATATATATATATTATAGAAAGGCGCTATATAAGTACAGTCCATTTACCATTTACCATACCAAATTTCTTAAATATTAAGATATGTTTTCCAGTTTATGTATTTGTAGGAAATACAGGACATCATATTTGGCTCAGTGGTTAGCACTGATGCCTCACAGCAAGAAGGTGTTGGGTTTGTTCTCTGATTCGATTCCCGGTTCAAACCTGGGGTTTTTCTGTGCGTGCTTAGCATGTTCTCCTTGTGTTTGTAAATGGACTGTACTTAAATAGCAGTTTTCTATCCATCCAGGACACTCAATGCACTTCACACTACAATCTGTGTCCTCATTTACCCATTCACACAGCACTCTGTTAGGTCTCTCTACAAAGCTAACATGTACAATCATCTATGGAGACTAATCAGTGCTAATCACATTCATACACTGATAGGACTCACATCAGAGACATTAGGGGTTAAGTGTCTTGCCCAAGGACACAACAATTGACCGCTGGAYGGGGGATCGAACCGGTGACCTTCCGGTTCCAGGACGATCTCTGCCACAGCCGCTTGGTTTCCTCCAAGTATTACGGTTTCTTCTCACACACCAAAAACATGAAAGTTAGGCTGCTTTCAGAACCACATAGGGCGCATTTGTRAGCTAGTTATATCACTGTGCCGTACCATAGGCTGTACCAGTTTATATGCTCCTTCTCATGYGGCTGACAAAACTCTAAAAATGTATAGGCTTGTTAAAAAATAAGCAATGTTCATTACCCTTTACCTGTTTAGATCTAATACCAGTTAATAATGACGTGAATGTTTGAGTGGGCCATAMAAAACCATCCGGACACAGCTGTGGACTGATTAGCTTTTTTAATGTGCCTCAGACAGGCATCAGCTAAACAGTGCCCAGATCCCAGAAACACCTCAAGTAACAAACCTCTTCGCATCCTGACTCCGCCTCATGACATATGTTAAAGGGGCAGGTACCTCTACACGGAGTCAAAATGTCAGACATTGTTCCTCACCCTATGGGTTGTTTTAAATCAGGCATGTATCTAACTAAAAGCCTCCTGTGTGTGTGAAACCCTGGTCAAGAGTCCCACAAYTCAGTCTGCACATAAAATCATCAATTAAATCAGAGATAACCACATTATAAAAATATATTACTGTTCACCTAATAAAAGACTATACAATGTGTAGTGTCTTTAAAAGTCAGTAGTAAACAACCCCAATAAATTTCTTCAGTTCCCACTTTTCACATCTCAGTATCCTACGCGGCCAACAATATCCCAGGAATGATTGTGCCAGGAGCAAATTTTTTAGGAAGACAGCTGTTTTGTTTGTTTGTTTGTTTGTTTTTATAGTGGACTCTGTAAACTCATCACAGACCAAATAATTCCTTTTTAAATGTATGTTTAGAAACTTAGCTGATGAAATTTGTGCTGCAATGAGATATAAACATAGAATACAATTCCAAGCACTGGCGCTAAACCCAAATAATTAATGTTTATATATATATTTTTTTCACGTGCACATTTTTAAATAGTACATTGAATTTTGTTAAGTTACACTTGGAAGAGCCAACTAAAGGCATGTGATATGAAACGTACATGATCATGCAAATCTTCGTCATCCGACGACTACATATCTCATTTCACAGACGTTTTATCAAAATATCTATTCAAATCATGTGGCTTCCAAGGGCCGCAGTCTACGTGGGCTGCAACCCCTGAACTGAAACACTGCCATTGTGTCATTTTTAGGAAAGAGTTTTTATAACTGTGAAAAAAAACAACAACAAATGCTCCCTTGTTTGGTTAGCCATTAGCCTAGCCTGGATAAGACTTTTGCCCCTTTCTCTACAAACATGCTCTTTCTGCAGCTCATTGAGTACTTACTCTTGTGCACTGTCTTGTTGACCAAACTGAAGCCTTGGTCTGGGTTCTTGCTCAGGTCAATGTAGTAGTAGAACTTCAGTTCCTGCGGGTACTGAGAGTGGGACAGGTTCTGAAGCATGGGAATCACTCTGTTGGACATTGGTGCCTCTGACAGAGCCTGGTGCATCATATACATGCACCAATCATCCTGCACAAAGCTGGGGGTGATTAGCAGAGCCCGTAAATGGCTGTTCTCCAGTGCCTGGCAGAACTCTGTGGGAATGGCTCCACTTGGACACGTGTCCCTTTCCCACAGAAAGCATCTGAGACTGCGGGGTGCCTCCTCCAGGAACAAGACCAGGCGCTTGGCCTCTTCGGTGTCTGTGGGGTCGAAGCTGTGGCACACAAACACGTCGTATTTTCGTCTCCATCTCAGCTCTGAGTTCAAGACGTCATTTAATCGCTGGGGTATAAAAACGGTTGTCCTCATGGACGCTGAAGTCGATGAAGACGATGCAGATGCACTGCTGGTGGACACCAGGGGGTTTTCAGCATTTGTGCTCTTGTCCTGTTGGGTTGATTTTGTCTTTCCAGATTTAAATTTTTTTTGTAACCAACCTGTAAAAAGGGGGGAAAAAACTGATGACTCTTTGGATGCTGTCAGATGTTTTATACTGTATCTATGCTAATATGGAAAATAAAAGCATTTTGAGTCGCTCAAGAAGACATAAACCGTACTTTATTTTAACCTTTAAAGTCAAATATATCCCCGAAAGCTTTTCAAATAGTGTGATAGTGTCACAGTAGTTTAGATATACAGGGGTTAGAYAATGAACCTGAAACACCTGGTTTTAGACCATAACATCCCTTTCAGACAGCTTCCTCTTGTGTCCACAGTTAATCCTGTTGGATGTGGTTCTTCCTTCTTGGTGGTACGCTGACATTACCCTGGATATTGTGGCTCTTGATGCATCACGAAGACTTGCTGTTTTGGTCACAGATGCACCAGCAAGACGTGCACCAACAATTTGTCCTCTTTTGAACTCTGGTATGTCACCCATAATGTTAAACTTCATTTTTTTACTGTAGTCACTGATCATAGGGAAATTGTAAAAGCAGATGAACTTAAACATTTGGGGGTTGTTTTTGACTATCATACTAACTTTGAGCCTTGTAACAGATAAGTCCCTACAGCCATCAAGATTTTGAAATTAGACTAAAAAATACAGAAAGACTAAGAACAGCTGAAAATATTAGGTAAAAGAAAGAATTCTTCAGTAGGGCATCATGAGCTTAGCTTCATTTTCTTGTTGACTAAAACACCGTTCAACTCCGGAACTTTGAAAAATCTTTTTGAAGGTGTCGTCCAACTTCCAGCCACACTTGGAGAACAGCCATGGTTGTGGCAGACTTCCAAAGGTCCTGTCACACTGTGAGGTTTTAGACATCTTATGCCAACTTATGAAAAGTTTGAAGACATCTACCTTGAAGATGGAATTAGGCATGTACACTGTAATACTAACAAACTGATCAAATATCTAACTTTTATTAGTAATAAAG